TGGAGAATGGTGGCTCCCAGCAGCCACCCCTCAGCCCTTGGAGCTGGGTGTGCAGGGCTGGGGCTCCCCCAGGATGGAGGAAGACCCCCCAGTGCCTCCCGTGGTATTGGGGCAGCGCCCCAGGCTGTCCCCCCAGACTGAGTGGGTGCAGCTGCTCTCCCCTCTCCCTCATTGTCCAGTCTCCTGCTCCTGTCTCTCCTTTGTATTCCCTGGGGAATGTGCCTCAGCTCCCAGCTTGGCACTAAATAGAATTTCCCTGTGGTTTTCTGGGCCAGACACACGTCCAGCTACGAGAGCTGGGGGTGGTGAAAGCAGGGGGGCTGGCAGGGGACACGAGTGCCCCGGTCTGTCGTGCCAGGAGGAAATTGCGAAGCCGGGGTTGGCACTGCAGCTGTGCCAGCCCCAGACAGGGCACGGGGGGAGCCTGGTGCCAGCTCAGCTTGGAGCACCCTTCCTCAGGGGTTTCTTATCCCCCTTTCCCCCCAGGCAGCTGGAGTGTGGAGGTGTGGGGCTCCTGCCAGGCTGCTTGGACCTGCCAGCTCCTCTCCAGGGCACTGGCCCAGGGGCTCCTGCCCCTGCTCCTGCTGCAGGACCCCGAGGTGTCCCCACAGGAGGGACCACCCTGGGCTCACCTCAGCACCCCGACCCTGCACCTCTGGGTGCCCTCTGTGCTCCCCCTCTCCCAGTCTGGACCGAGGATTATCCCGTGGATAATTAGGTGTTAATCAGTAATGCCTGGGCAGACCAGCTCAGCCCAGTGCCCCGGGGGTCACACCAGCAGGGTCCCCAGGGGCAGGAGAAGGAGGTGAGAAGTGGCACATGATGAGACATGCCCACGGTGGGCAGAGGTTTCTCAGCAGCCGCTGGCTTGAAAGGTGGCACCTCGGGGAAGGTCCCTGCAGGAGCACGGGCAGGACACCGAGCACAGCGAGGGGACCACGGGGGGATGTGGGACCTGGAGTGTTACCACCTCCCAGCTGCAGGAGGAGGAGGTAGGAACAGGCCTTCCCACACTTTGGGAAGTGTGGTGGGAGCTCCAGGAGCTGCTGGATGGAGAGGAGCTGCCCACTGCTCGCTGATGTGGGCTGGACCTGCTGCCCTGCTCGAGGCTCAGGCAGCACCAGGAGCTGTCCCTGCTTTCCACGGCCCCACTTTGTGGGGATGCCCCCTCTGTCCCCTCATGGGATATCCCCAGATGGTGGTCCAGAGGAGGATACCAAGATTAGAGGGATGGAGCCCCTCTGCTGCGAGGAAAGGCTGAGAGAACTGGGATTGTTCAGCCTGGAGAAGAGAGGCTTTGGGATGCCCTAATTGTGACCTTCCTCCAATACCTGAAGGGAGCCCACAAGAAAGAAGGAGAGAGACTATTTACAAGGGCCTGGAGGGACAGAACACAGGGGAACGGCCTTAAGCTGAAGGAGGGCAGGGTTAGATGGGATATTGGGAAGGAATTGCTGGCTGGGAGGGTGGGGAGGCC